CCCCAAAACCCCAAAACCCCAAAACCCCAAAACCCCAAAACCCCAAGCTGTCGAAGTCAAGTTGACGCCAATAATTAGAACTTTGACTCATTATAATCGTAAATTTTTCATTTGTTAATTTTTGCCTCAAACGGAAAATACTCATCGTTTACTTGGAAGTCTAGAAGCCTATGGTTCCTTAAAGGTTCAGACAATGGAGGATAATCGATTTGCAGAGAAACTGGAGCGATAGAGTTTATGTGTTTGATGTCTCTAATCAGAACTGTAAATGTCATATCTGTTCCTTTGCCATAAACAGACTTCATTCTTATTTCACCTCCAAGTCTCTCAACATATTTTTTGCTGATTGTAAGTCCAAGCCCACATCCGTTAGGATTCATGTCTCTGTTTTCTTCGAGCGTCCCGAACTGTTTGAATAAATTTTGCTGATCTTCTTTCTTAATTCCAGTCCCAGAATCTTCAACCCTAAGTTCCAAGAAATTCAGGCCATCAAGGGTTTTAGTCAGAGCAGCCTTTATTTTGATGAACCCACTAAAAGTAAACTTGGTCGAGTTAGAAACCAAGTTGAGCAAGACCTGCCTGACTCTGTTCCGGTCAGTTTTGATTTCTCAGAATCTGAGGTCATCATCTCATTCAGTTATCAAGTCAACTTTTCTCTGCTCTCATTGCATTGAGAATAGAGAGTGGACATCGCGCAAAAGAGCAGGGATGCTGAAGAATTCATAACTGACCACAAATGTTCCATTATCGATCTTCGAAAGATTCAGGACATCTTCCACCAAAGCAAGCAACAGGGTGGATGATGTGGCTCCAGTTTTCGAAAACTTGAAGATGCTGTTGATATTCTCATTGATTCTCCTACTTTGAAACACATCTTTAGGTAATTTCTTAGAGAGGATCTTCATAAGGTCTTCAAAGCTTGACTTGATGAAGTTGAACGAGTTTATGATCGCATTTAACGGAGTCCTGAACTCATGGCTGGTGCTTGCGAACATGATCTTCTGGAGCTTGATTCTACTCTTAGCTTGCTCTAGGTTGATTATATCTGTAGTGTCGATAAAGACATGCATAACTGAGGGAGTTCCTTTCCATTCGATTCTAAGAGACTTAATACTGAAGTTTCTGTTGACCAATCTTTCTCTCTCAAATCTTTGATTTAACATATCTTCTTGATTTGAAGAATTGCTATATCATTCATAAGCAAAGAGGCACTTAAAGCAATGAAAGTGACAGAAACAGCCATTTACTTACTCATCAGAAATTTGTCTGCACTGGATAATAACATGGTTCTTGGCTTCGGTTGTCTCATCACTGTCATATTCCTGATGTTTTTCCAAATATTCAAGGAGAGTCAGGGTTTCTTGATGGTTCTTTTCCAGTCAACTCTTTTTCTCGATTGTAACATTAACATTTTCAAGCTGCTGGATTTGCTGATTCAGAGAAGTAATCTTCTCTTCAAACTGATCGTTAGAATATCAGCTCGGTTGACCATAAATGTCTTCTGGAAGTATCAATACTGGGTGTGGAAATTGCTGCACAACCTTCTGTTTCTCCTTGACCAACCTCGTGTTATCAAGAATCATCTGATACATCTGAGAAAGTCTCGTCTGGTTGGTCTTGAGTCCAAGATCAGAGAACAGTATCGACATCAGCCCTGAAACAATAAGTTCTGGGTCTATCCCTCCTAGCCTATACATGGCAATGGATACATGTGCTACAACAGTCAGAGTGAATATCACAGTCGTGAAGTGTCTCTTAGATGGAGTCAGAGTTGCAAGGTAGAAATGGTACAGATATATGCTCGGAATAAATGCATAAAAGTGTCCTTTGTGATTTGTCATAAAAACTAAGTGAGGTCCAATGAACCCAACTCAGTTAAATACTAAAATCGACGTCTGAAGATATTCAGGATACTTCAAGATCAGATATTTTGCAGCAAAGAAGCCGAGTGTCATTCAGGTTCCAACGTAAAGAAATACCAGTTGTTTAGGACTGGTATCATTCTGCAAACTCTGTATGTGAGAGTCTTGTCTTACAATGAGGAATCCGAACACTGACATTATAATTACGAGTATCAGCTGAGACTACATCAAAATATTAAAATCCAGTGATGTAATATTCTGAGATTGAAGATTTTAGCCAAGACGATTAAGAAGGTGTGAATCAAAATTTAAGCTTTAAGTTACATCCAGATTTTAATAAAATTAGTAATGAAAATCTTATTTCTTTGCACAAATTACATCTTTAAGAAATTGGTTGATGTGCATATTAAAATTGTTTCAAAAAGTACAGGTCTGAGCAAAGACTATAACTCAGTCGGTAAACTTTTGTGAGTGCCATCCGAAAATTATAAATTGAAAAATCAAATTTTGTAAAATAGGTTGACAAAATAGCTAATCCTTCAAGATTTTACACGGCAATTTGCATGATTTTAATTTTTAAATCTTGACTCATCTTTCATATTATCTCCACGTTCAATCAAAAGAGTCTTGAAGATTATTTAAAACTTGGAGGAGATCAGCCAGATACTCATATTTAGGTTCTTTGATTTTATAACTTACCTTCTGGATATAAGCAATTGAGGGTTTATTCAGATGGTCCATCCCGCCTAAATGTCAATCACAGACTTTACTCTTGGGAATGAGGTTCTCCAGTTGTGCAAACTCAGTGTCTCTCTGCTGAGAAGCTTTGTAGAACTGCTTCAACTTGTTCATGCTAAAGAATTTTAGGGCTAGTCTGAGAGGTGTAAGCCATACCTATCTACTCTATATAATTATATTTTAATGAATTAGACCTGGGGTTTTGGGGTTTTGGGGTTTTGGGG